TAAGTCTACCAAAAGACTAATTTCAGACACAAATAGAAAGATCTAGCATTAATGTGGTGATTGTGAACATGAATTTCCACCAAGGTAAAAATCAAAAGGCAAAGAAATATTTTCATGAAATGTAGTTCTTTCTAGTGTATTTCAGAATGAGAATTATAGGAAAGTGTACTCCTAAAAAAATATGGGAATCATTGGCATAATGAACTGATAAAAACTTTTAATTTAAGGTCTCTACTTTTCCATAGGGAACGCAGAGCATAGGCTGCAACAAGACAAGTTCCTCACATGCAGATTCAAAAGCAACACACACAATTGAATTTTTGTGCCAGTTTAAGCTTTAGCTTACTATCAAAGATGACAAATTAATGCCAACATTTTACACATCTGGAACCCACTCATTATGTCCTGCACAGAGACCACCAGTTAGTTCAGCATTTAGAGATGTTTACGCCTACCCACCTATCATTATACTTCTACATGTAAACATTCCTTGTCTTTATGGAATAATGAATGATTTAACATGGGAATACACTGAATCAAAACCACTCATGAATAAGAATCATGTCCATGCCTCACAGCTTGCTTGCTTTCTCTCAAACTTCTCTTCCCCTTCTAAGAACATGAACTGCTCTACCCTATGTCCCATGCACTCTTTCTGCTTAAAGTTTTTCAGTCCATTACTAGCCCCTCCTCTCTAGTCTCTCTTCATGTTTTCAATCATGTATTTTGTAGCACACACAAAAATAGGTGTGGTAGAACTGTGATGTATATGGAGCTCTAAAAATAATGATCATCTCAACTGGTTCTCTCGTGATTTTATGAGGGGAGAAAAGCTTCATGAAATATTTAATTTTACCTGGGTTTGAATTGATGTTTTAATCAGTTTCTGGAAAAGATAAATCATGTCATGATATTTTTTGAGCAAAAAAATGTATTAAATCAAAGTGAAACCAATAAACATTTAAATTATTCAGAATGTGCTTCTTTTCTACACTGAAAAAACCCCATATTTATCTAAAATGTTTTGCCCAAATCTAAGTCTCTATAGACAATGACAGATGAAGGTATAAGCAAGATTTGTAGAGATAAGGCATTCCCAACCCAGTACTGTTACCTCTAAGAGCTGTTTCAATGATAAGGACCTAAAGAAGCTCAGTCACAGAAAATATAAGCTTAGCAGGATCCTAAATCTAGCACATTTTCCCCATACAAAGAAGCTGCACCAAAACAAACCAGAGAAAATCCCAAACATATCCCAAAGCAAAGCAAAACAAAACAAAACAACTTACTGTCTTCTTCAACATTTTGACGGCGTAAGGTTTCTGGGTCCCTTTCTGCCTGCATCTGTAGACAATGGATGTAGCCCCACTAAATTAAAAAAAAAAAAGGAAGAATAGTTGTACATATACCTCATTGAATTTGTCAATAAACAGACTTGCCTAGCTGAAACTACATTTTCTACTCCTTCCAGTCTGGGCAAAAATATCTCATTTTTCCCCACAGATATAAGAAAAGAAACAACTCAGCATAAATACTTCTCTGTTGAATCAGTGAACTCCAGCAGTTCTTCAGCCAACAGAACTTGCAAGAGCTCAAAATGCTTCTTGGTCACAGCTTTTTTGGCTTCTGACATTTCCTGAAGATTTCCTCAGGGTATCAAGTGAACACTGCTGGGTCCTGCACTTGTGACACAACAACCTCATGCAGCACTACAGGCTGCTCGAGGAGTGGCTTGAGAGCTCTTCAGCTCTTCAGCCCTTCCCCAGGAAGGGACTTGAGGGTTCTGGCCTACAGCCAGCTCAATATAAGCCAACAATTCGCCCAGGTGGCCAATAAGGCCAATGGCATCTTGGCCTGTATACAGTACTAGGGAAGTGATAATCTCCCTGTACTTGGCATTGGTGAAGCCACACTGTGAGTACTGTGTTCAGTTCTGGGCTCCTCACTTTAAAAAGACATTGAGGCACTGGACCGAGTTCAGCCAAGGGCAATGAGGCTCATAAAAGGTTTGGAACACATGTTGTATGAGGAATGGCTGAGGAAGTTGGGTTTGTTTAGCCTTGAGAAGAGGCACCTCAGGGTTGACCTCATCAGTCTCTACAACTACCTGAAAGGGTGTTGTAGAGAGGTGGGGTATGGTCTCTTCTGCCATGCCTGCAGCTAGAGTACTAGAGGGAATGGTCATAAGCTGAGACAGGGGAGATTCAGATTAGATATTAGGAAATGTTTTTTCAGTGTTAGGGTGGTCAGGCACTGGAATAGGATGCCCAGGGAGATGGAGTCACCATCCTTGGAGGTGTTTAACAGGCATCTGGATCTAGTGCTGGATGATCTGGTTTAAGGTTTAGGGGTTACAAAGGAGTGGCAGCTTAATGGTTGGACTTGATGGCCTTAAAGGTCTCTTCCAATCTTGATGATTCTATGAATCTGTTCTATGACATCCTGCTGCAAACCTGTGGCAACATCTTGTCTTTGTTAAGGCAAAGCATTTGCAACAATTAGTTGCATGGATTTTTTTCACTAGCAGTTGATGGTAGTAGTGGTGAGACAGAAGAGAAGAGGCACTTATTGTGCTCCTCCCTGCCCATCTGCCCACACAGACAAATTAGACACCAACGGAGTGTGCAGCACATTTGGTTAATTCAGTGGAAACTGGTGGAGCTTGTTCATGGCAAAAGTGGATTGAGCTTGCACCTTCTGTTTGCCTTCAAGGTGTACTCCCTTGATTGTGTTAAATCTGAGTACTCATAACATAAAATTATTGCTCTGCTGGGCAGAAGGCACTTCTCTGAGTGGGAAGCTGGGCTAGACAGTCTCCAGAGGCAGGATCTGCTGCTGAGGTTACTTGCTGTGCTTTACTTGTTGCCATTAAGGAAGGGACCTGTAATCTATGAATTAGTTAAAGAGAGGAAAAACCTCTGGCAAAATCATACTGGTTACAAACACTTCGGATACCTTTATTTTCTACCACAAAACAGATGCACTGAAGTGATGTGCATCAGCGCTGAAGCTAAGGCCTTTTTGGAAGCCTCCTGTCCTCAGGAGATCTGTCACCCACTCTAAGATTCAGGAGTTCTGAATAGCTGCAGATTTTTAAGCTAGAGGGGACTGGCATTATCATACAAGACTTCCAGAATAACCATTGCAGACCTGCATACAGCACCTCTGCAGTGAGTGAATTTCATATATACCTCACACCAAATTGTACTGCAGAGCTCTCTCAACCAGAAGAAACCCGTGTCAGTGTGTCCGTAGCAGATGACCAGAAGCTGTGCAATGACACAAGCAGCTTTCTTTTAAACAGTAGAATAGCATAGCCATGCCTGACTATATGAATAAAGCTGTGACACAAGATATGTTATTCTGGGTGCAGTGCTGTACAAAACTGCTATGTGTGTGCTGCACTTTTTCCTCCTCAGCATGGGCACAGGTGCCAGATTGCTTGGATAAGGCACATCCATATTTTTATGAGTACATGTGTGAGCACAAGAACTGGCATTTGACAGAGAAGATTTGCTTCAGAAACACCTCTTCATCAAGAAAGGTCACCTACAGCAAGGGTTATGCAGCTCAATCATCTGAAGGCTTGTGTGCATTGTGCATAAAGTAATCTTCACTTCATCTCAAATGCTAAAATGATTTGTCTCTCATAACAGTATATTGATAAATGTGTGGGAGTACTGCAAGCTTCAGTGAGTCCCAGAATCATTACATGAATTTAATTAGATCTCCTCTTCTTGGCCAAGTCCCAAAAGGCTCGATTTAGCAAGACGAAAAAAAACTACACCACATTACAAAACTTTCACATCTTTTAAATAAAAAAAATGTTAAAAGATAGAATTCTAAGAACCTACTGTGATAAGGTTTATATCTCTAGTATTTCACTGCAGAACTGTAATGGAGAAGTCAGTGCATAAACTGCAAATCTTTCTTTCACATATGCAGAGTGCAATATAAATATTAAACTCATTAGTTTACATAGGCTCTTACTAAGGAGGCAGCAAACTTTCTGGAATTATTGTACTTGGATGAGGGCAGAATTAGATAAGCTGTGCAGCTGATGATCAAAACAGACAGATTACCATTCCTGTGCATATCTCTAGGTGTTCAGTGCTGCTGGTTAGTAATTGTCTCTCAGTAATTCTGTTGTCAGTGTTTGCTTTACTAGTTTGCAACCTGGTGCTGCAAAGTCTTCCATATGAATAAGAATCTTGCCACCAGCACACTCTGATGATTTAACAGCACTGCCTGAGTGATGAGATTGATAGATAGAGCAGCAAGGGTATCATTGTACCACCCTTAACAGTTCATCTGACTGTGCCCAAAGATGGAAAACAGGTGGCATAATGCTTGAAAGAGGCATATGACAAACTAGATAGACAGGAATTTATGAATGTGAGTCCAGATGAGTAGTTTGCCATCAGGTTCAGTAGTCACTGTTCAAAACACACACACAGGGGCTACTTCAGAAATGATTCCCTATTGTAAAGATTCCTGACAGCACATCCCTGGAGTCCTAACTTGGGTAGAAATTGATTACAAGATATCACATGACTTGGGAACACTTTCAAAGAGTTTGCTTTTGGTCCATGTGCCTATGCCCAGGTCTGACAGACATGTTTCCACCCATAAGGAAAAAGATCAGTGAGCTAACAGCTAATATTGCCTTCCTTTTCCAGGTCAGAAACTAGTACTGGAACACAGGAACAGGATGGCAACCTACTTACACCATGTCGAGTGCAAAACTTAGCAGAGAGCTATTACTAGTACAGACCTGACTCCTCGTCTCTTTGGTGACAACAGGATGTCTTTGCTTCTTCCCAAAATTAAAGGGGAGGGAGAAGGCAGGGGCAGAAATCAGACCATGAGTCTCAATGTAAATATGCAAACAGAATTCCATGTGCAAATCATGATGTTTTATTTTGCTTATTTTGGCTTCCTACTGGAGCTCAGCAACCTTTCTGCTGAATCAGCACATACAGCTTTCCTGAGACTGTGGGACTTGGAAGGTCACCAACTGGCATGACGCAAGCTTTCATCACCAAAGAGTAGCGGGAAGATTCAGTTGCAAAAATCTCATGTGCAATTGTAGCTCAGAAAGCTGCTAATTGTAATTTCTTGCCCTTAAGTTTTTCAACATCAAAACAGGCTCTCAGAACTTCTGAAATTTGCATCAGCTAAAAATGTCATTGATGAATTTGGTCAGAATACACATATATGCAGAAAAAAAGCATTATTGTGGCAACATGTCAGTTTCTACAGGCATAGAATTTATGGCCTGATAGGCAGACCAAAAGTATATCAATGTCCCATTCTCTGCAGGTGGTGTTTCACTTCATCTGAATGATAAACATTAATGGTGCCATAGAGCAAGATCACCTATACTCAATGATTAAGGCACTTATTCGATAAGCAGCAGATGACAACACTAGAGAGTGTTTAATTCTACAGTATTAACAGTTTGAACAGAAGAAACTGAAAGGACCCTAAGGCCAAGCAGCTAATAATCTCTTGCAAAAGTACATTGCAGTGTGTGACTGACAGGGGACCCAGTCTCAATTCCACAAGGATACTCACTATATTGTTTTTGCCTATTTAGAATTGATCCTGTCAGCTCTTCTCTCTTTGCAGCTAGTGAATACATACATACATATCTACCTCTGCATATAT